AAAAGTTTAAAAGAAAGTAAAATGTAATGTGATAAAAATATATTATATATATATTACGAAGAAAAATTCATGTACGTTGTAACGAAAAATTTTGTAACGGTAGATTTTGTCTCTATAATAAATGAATTTATTTTATTTAAACTCTATAATAGAAAAGAAAAGCAAATTAACATGTGCTTGCAATTCTTATTAGACTGTATACCCTAAACAATTTTAATGGAATGTTTGGGAGGTGGATCGCCCTAGCGCTACTATATATGTAATCCATTGATTAGAAACAAAAGTTTTTTTTTAATATCATTCGAATCATCCAGTTGAGATTAGGCTCTATTTACTCTATTTGATAGATCCGTGTTAACCCCTGCCAATATTATTACCTTATATAAAAATCGAAGTTTTATTAAATAAATCAATACTAGCATACTGTATCAAAAGATCAAGATATATATATATATATATTTTATTTTTTATGTCATACAAAATATTGAAAACCAGGTTTAATTTATGATTGAAATTTATTATATAAAAAACCTGGTTCCTAGGTTTTTAATTTTGAACCTAAAAAAGGTTTATAAAACCTAATCCAAACCTAAACTAATTTTACCAACCCTAACTGTAACATATCATACAATATGTAACTATGATCGTGAAATAATATATAAAGATTTTTACTTATAATGAATTGTCCATGGTTTTGTAGCCCTTTCGCTAGCACGTTGCCTTTCCAATTCCTCAATATCATTTTCCATTTCGATAACACCAGCGGTCAGGATTTTTACGGTATCTAACCAATGATAATTCCGACGATCCAATTGATTCCTGATTCTTTTTGCAAACTGTTCCATCTTTGCAGCATATTCAGCAAATTCATCATGATTGAAAGTATGATTAGCGACTTTTGAAATTTTTTCAGCGGTACTTTTTTGTGGAGTGGAAGGAGAAGTATTGGCGACAATTGGCATAGGCATGGAAGGAGGTAAAGGAGGATATGGCATTGTCGGTATCATAGTATAAGTACCATCAACAGTAGTAGGTAACATAGGAACAACGGAAACAACAGGAGTAACGGAATATTGGGGGACTAATTCTGGACATTTAAGATTAGCGATTCTTTCCCAATAAGTATGAATTTGTTTTGGAGTATAATTTTTCATAACATTTTTAGCTCTGAGTAATTGACGTAATTGAATAGGATTTAAATGAACGTTTTCTTCAATCTCTTTTCTACATTCTTCACTAATTTCTGAAGTGATCACGGGTCTATTATGAAGCATGCCATGATGAATTTCAAGCATAGCTTCAGCAGCAGGCATATCAATTTTCATTTGCATTTTTCCTTGACATGGAAAGCGTTCCATTCGTTTTCTATTAGACCCTTCTTTATATTCTTTCATCGCGACTACCGATTGACTACAAACGTAGTAAAACTTTGCGACATCTTTATGACGCATCGAAGTATTCATACAATTATACCTAAATATATATGTATATATATATATTTATTTATTTATTTAAAAGTGTTAAATAACACGAATGAAAAGTGAAAATAATAATATTAATAATAATAATATTAATAATAATATTAATAATAATCATAATAAAAATATTATTATTATGATTATTAATAATAATATTAATACGATTATTTTTATTTAATATGATTATTAATATTATGAAAATTATTATAAAGATTATTATGAATATTATTATGAATATTATTATGAATATTATTATGAATATTATTATTATTATGAATATTATTAAAAGATTGATATTATAATACATACGTCCAATTATATTCATCAGCTCTCTCTATTTCTTCCACGATCCATCTAGCGACTTCTTTAGGATGTTCGCTACCATTTATCATACTTGTAAGGTTTAAAGCCACGCGTAGGTTTAAGGCACATTGAGGGGCACCGTCAGGACCGATAGGTTGAGGGTTATGAAGAATAGCACGCATTTCAGAAGCGACGAGGTTAGACAACTCCATTAGACTAACGGTTCTAAGGGAAACACGCGTGGGCTCTTCTTCTTCGACGACTTCGTCATCGCGTTTTCTCTTTGTTTTTTGTTTTTTAAGAGCTCTTTGCTCTATACAACTTTGACAAGTTTTCCATTTTTTATTTTTATGAAAGAAGGCTTCGTCAGGCTTAGTTTGATGGCAGGACGTACACACCGGCATATTAGAGGGATATGAATATTGGATATAACGTTGGGAAACAACTTAAAGACAAAATTTTATCAGTAGAAAATTTTTTATAATAATAATAAACAGTTATCAAACGTATAGGACTAAGAGGGAAAAAATCTGGGAAGAATGTTGGGCAACAAGGAAACACCCAGTGAACGCAATGGGAAGATTAATTTATATGAAAGTAACGCCGAATAGTTACGCATGATTCCGAAATTGAGATTGGCTGGGTATATTATACCCACGGGTAATTACCCCCTATAATCTAATCCACCGGGTAGAATCTAGACCAACTGCATAAATTTTATTTATAAATTATATACTAAAATAATTTATATAATGCACACTGCAGATGCGCCATGAGATGCTTTACAGTAAATCATACCCATTCGGTTATCCTTAAGGTATTGTACGCATGAAAGTACGTATCATATGTAATCCGAATATTATTGGTATTGTCCGACGGAACTCCGAGAAAATGAATGGAGTCCGCGGAAAATGAACAAGACGATTTATCGTTTATCTTTTTTGTTTGAGCACTTCAAATTTTGATTATTATTTTATTTGATGGTGAAACAAATAACAAAGAACTTATTGGTTAAGGATCAGAAACGCGAATGACGTTAAAGTTGAAATTTAATACCGAAACATTTATTTTCAAAAAGAAAAACCTTATTGTAAGAAATATTTATTAATTATTTATTAGTTATTACTTTAAATTTCTTTAAATTATTTAAATGCATTTATTAAAATGTTAATACATAATAATAATAATAAAACTTTCTTGTCTTATATAAAAAGTTCAACGAAATAAATTGTAATTATATATTTAACATTAAGTCTTTAATTGATATTCATTCAATATTCAATATATACAAGAATACCAGGATTATTAAACTTGTTAAAAAAATAAAATAAAAATAAAGATTCTCTTGATTTCCGAAATTCCTAACATCTATCA